ACACACGCTGCTTGAGACTGCTCATGGAACAGAACTGTCCCCAACGAAAGTTGTCATCTTGAGACCCCTTAACGAACGACCAACCAGGACGGGTAGTCTTCTCGGTCGTATACTGGCACATATGGTAGCAGAATGACGCGATAAAGAAGCGTAATGCTTATGACGCGAAAACAGCTTATGCAACCACTCCTGCAGACGAACAGGTATGAGTTTTGTTTCCTTCTCACGACGCACCATATTGTCCAGAGTCCAATCGCGACACATATGTGCACCTACACAGCCTGCACCATTGAATAATTCTTGCATATTTCACCCCATATATTCACTGCTGTCTATCCCATTGTGGTCGACTAGGATTCATTCTGTAGCTCGGGATTTAGTTAGTCGTTTCTGCATAACGCTGAATAACGCTAGAAGCTCTGCTACCGGCGTATTCGTCTGATTTATTGCGCTTTCGATGAATACCTTCTCTCTTCTTCGTAGCCCACGCTACCATCGATCGCCGCTCTCGACCTGGTCTCGGCTCGTTCCATCAGTACCGCGTTGTTGTCTCATTTCATTGGTCACGTCTGCTCATAATTCCACCTGCCCTGTTTCTGTGGTTTTTCTAGCTTCCTGGTAATCCTTGCATTCAGTCTCCATACAATATCCCACGGAATCCGAAGGGGATGGACCAAGAAATTGTGTAATAGGTCATATGACTCTTGCCCCGCTGCGGTACGCTGGTAACGCTCTCTGCATGTCTTATAACCGAAGCAGTGGTGGTGAAGGACCAGGCAAATTTCCCCCATCGTGTTGACTGTAAGATGCAGCTGAATGGTGTCCATACTACACTAAACCGTAACCAAGTGAAACAAGGATAAATCAGCTAGGCGCTCATCTCAGCCATGGTGTCCACTTGATATAATCGCACTTACGAAGATGTAAAACCATTTATCCCTAGTCTGTCATCATATTTTTAGCCACGAACCTCGTGCACCATAAGGTACAAGCTCGTTAGAACCCATTTTCGACGAGTCCGACGAGTCTCGTAGTACCACATACACTCAGATCCAAGCGGATTCTCTCGGAGCGGGAAGATCACAATGGGCCTTGTTCCACTTGTCAACATCTCCAAACAAGTCCCCTTTTAGCCCACCACAATGTTGCTCACATCTCCCCATCAAACGAACTAAGCAGAAACTTCGTCAATTAACCATCCAAGTGACGAACCAATAGTCGGGGAATGGTAGGCACGGCTCCGTGATGGCAAGAGCAATATACATTGGTGTTATTTTCGTAGAAGACTCGTCATGGATTGCTAGGCAGAACTTCGGAACCAATAATCTTCCCTCTAACTCCGTTCTCACTTGTCCTAATTGCTTTCTTACCACCCTGCACATCAAGCTAGCTTGCAAGTCATCCGAAACCAAAGCTCCTAGCACAAACTGGAACTTGTAATCCCGAGTCGACCATAAGCATAACCAAACCGCGGTTATTATCGCTGCCTGGAGCTCAATGAGACCACAACATCTCCTTGAACGTCTAAGCATGACCTGCAATGCGTTATCTGCAGCCTCACTAAGACTGCATATTTCATGCTCACTAAAGACTTCAACCGCGGAGACGTGTCAGCAGGAACCGTTCTTGTAATTTTCTCAATGCATATCCCATCCCTTGGTAGAATGCAACTGATTGTACCCAAAGCCATGAGAGAGCCCCAGAGCCTGTAGGCATAGCCCTAACTGCAAGCTCATTGCTGGCCAGTCACGCGCTGCTACAAATTTTGGGAACACGTTCAGACTGAACATACCTCAGATACCGGCTCCGCCCTGGCTCATTTCTTGCTTAGACCAGCTTAGACAAGCATATTCTTTACCACTTATCCCTACCAAAGTCCCAGTAGCCTCATTCGCGATGGTGCTGGTGAACCAAGGGCTGTGCCATTAATCAATCAAGATATATAACGACGACAGGTGTTTAATCGTTTAATTCTGATCAGAAATCGGTGACCAGGCAAGGATTAAACAGCTTCAGACGAGAATCCATAACATATGCTGATAATCACTAGGGGGATTAGCTTGGGGTGCAGTTCTCCATCGGCATAACCGGCAATATTTTGGACCAGGAGTACTCTTAAGCAGTAAGAATGCGTTGGAATGCGGAGAGCATCATCTCACCAGTAACTTGATTTTAACTTCCGACGTATAAACTTACACCTAAATTCGTTGTACATGACCGCTGTCGATGGAAGCCGTGCTGCTCAAGCGTGCTGTTATAGTTTTACAGTTAGCACATCAGCGTATCGGCAAATATGGATTCCATGAAGTTGGAGAGTATAGGAAGAAGGTACAGTGGGCGGTAGTTGGAGGGCTCAGTTTTGCTACTATCGTTGGGAATCGGGCTTATTATTCCTAGCTCCCACATGGCGTGAAGTTGGTTCTGGTCTAAACAGTGCTGGTAAAACTGAGTTATACTCCTGCCAGTTGACTTACTGCTGCTTTCAGTGCCTCTGAACAAATGGTGTCGACACCCAGCGAGCTGTTTACGTAGAGACGTCAGCTTTTGCAATACAGCCTCCGCGGGCTAGTCCTTGGGCTAGTCCTAGCGAGGAAAGGACAAAACTTGGTAAATCGCTTGGTGGCAAGTCCCTCTGAAACGTGGGGGCATACTGCATCCGCAGCGCCTTTGCTGCTTCCACAGCCGTTCTTTTTTAGCCATCGGCCGTCCTAAGTGAAGGAAATCCTCGCCTCACATTTCGTAGGCTATTGACGCACTTCTACAGAAGTTTGTGGTTATTATTGAAGGTTTCTGCGATGTTCTGCCGTCATGCGGCTTTGTCTTCTCTTAGCAGTTGAGCGCAGTGGTCATGTTAGGCTACATCGTTATCCCAGCTTTCTGGTGCTAGAGCTTCCCTGTGTACTCGCCACGCTGCGCTGTGCACTGTCATCCATTTTCGAGTTTTGCTCCTAACGAAAGAAACTGATGTACACTTATTTTAAACTCTTATCTCTGAAGCCTCTGCAACCAGCTGACTGAATTTGTTGACGAACTCGAGCCAGGCGACTTCCGGGGTTCTTCGGCAAGAAACAACCATGCTGTAGCGCTGACGAGCTGGTTAATCGATCGTAGCTTGTGATGGTTTGCATAGTCTCATCGTTCTCATTCAGATATTCTGCATAACAGACGAAGTTAAAACTGATCACTGCGTGATCGCTGCGACACAACGGGCAGTCTAAAATCAACACATCAATTAAATGCTTCTTGTTGGTAGGCACAAGATCCAGCACAGATGACCTGTTACCTGTTCTGAACCGAGTGGGCAAAGTGATGTGATTGTAAAGAAGAACAGTGGTTCCGAAATCATGTAGATCAGCTTTGAATTGTTCTTCGATCGTGGCAGGAGTTTCTAAGCACTGTACGTTGAAATCATCCACGATAAGTGTGTAAGTGTACTTTCGTTGTAAACTGCATCTTAAAACCGCAGCTAGGTGGCAGTCGATTTCGGGTGTAGAGTTAGGGGGCGGTACACCACGTCCGGTCAGGTCTCCGCTGAATTAAAATCACGATTAGCACGGTGAATCAACCCTGCAACGACGCTGCCATCGAGTAGCTTTAACTCAGTGACGTCCTGCTTTATTGATCGGTCCTAGGGTACTTTGCTCCCACTCCGAAGCCTAGCTTGCACCTAAACGCATGGAAGTCATGCAGGAAAATTTCCTATGTACGTATATTATACAAATATATAGTATACGTACAGATGAGATTATCGTGCATATAGATATAATGCTGATACGGGCGGAACCGATTTAAGACAACTTGGTATGACCCATTGTTCACAATTCACGGATGGAGAATGGAGGAATCAAGCGTAAACAATCATTCTCACATGCGGGTTGACGGATAGTTGAGGCGAGTGAGAGTGATGGATAGAGCCTACACGAGTCACATCACACTGTCTACCGTTGAAAAGCGCTCATGTTCGAATGGTATGTGAAAAGCAACGTGGGATACAAGGCACGCCGCATAGCAACAGGTTCAACAGATATCTATTTGTTTGTAACAATGAAAATGTGTATCGTCAAGCCCATTCAGGTAGTTTGCTACAAAATGCAATGTATAGTGGACGTGCGACTCAATCGACATATGTGGTCTTTGGTTTCAGTATCAACAAGTAGTCGGTGCATATCCCGGTGCAGTAAACTATCTAGTTTTCTCGGACTGGGGCATCACCGCTAAATACAGTGTGCCGCAGCGTGAGGTTGGACTCATGTTGCCCTAATTTGCGCATCACAAGGAAGTGATTTGCTGCTGAGCAAAGGCTTACTTGCGCAGGACACAAACCTACTTTAAAGTAGGGTGCAACGACAACGGATAGTTCAGTTAGGCCACGTGATATTTCATCATGATCACTGCGTCATGCGCAACCGTTCTGTAATCGTTTGAGTACTGATCAACCAGTAGACTTGCGAGAGTTTCGTTTTACACCATCACCTTGTCATCTGACGAACAAGATGATCAGCGAAACAGCAAATGACCGAGAGCGCACACATGCTGAGTTGCCAGACAAAGAGGTCATTGATTGAGTGTACAGCTACCGTACTGCTGGCTTACAACGCAACTCGAAATCTTGCGTAGGCACAAAGCGTGAGCAACCGATGGGAACTTAGCATCAACACACAGTGTACGTTCAGGTTAGATGGATAGATTAGACATAAAGCAGGGTGATGAGCGTCTGGCTGGTCTTACAAAATGTTTAAGCTTGAAAAACCGCAGTATGGTTCAAACTGACGATTCCACTGGTCGGTGTCGCGTTGCTGGTCTCCATGCGGAAACAAAAATAACTAAGTTAAATTCAGTAACAATCCTGCACTAACAATGTGTATCGTGTAATTCTGCAGTGCTTGAAACGGACCATGATATTTAACATATATGTGCGTAAGTTGACAGAACTCCACGCTGGTCAGAAATGTCCAAACATATCATTATACCGGGCACAGGGCAGCAAACAAGTGACTTACCATATTCGTTGTATTCACTAGTTAATCTAGGGTCACTGGCGGCCACGGCGGCAGCAGCACCGTACCAAGTGGAGGCTGCTGCCGAGGCCACTGCCGCCGATGTCAACTGCCTCGGTTCGAACAACGATGAAGACCCTGCGTCGGGGTTGCAAGTCAATTCACTACCATGCTCCACACCGCTCCCACCACTTGTATTAGTCGCAGTGCCAGGCGTATTGTGAAAAGTCCCGAGGTTCCCTCCGGAGTGCAACGGCTCATCCAGCGGTATTTGACCTGGCCAGAAAAGCGCGGACATTCGGGAGCCGTAACCCGCGGACATATGAGAGAAAAACGGATGACTGTCACAGGGCAGAGGTGCATCGGTGTGCAGGTCGGAGTCCGTGAGCTTCAGTGCACCACGATTTAATGAGCCGTCATTCATGGAAAAGGTGTGCGCCCTGTTGGTGACAAAGAAAACATATGACGTCAGCAGGTAGGCAGTGATTTTTATGGAATCATCACATGTAGTACATGGTTTCGGAGAAGTGAATATCTAGATATAACAGTTCAACCGTTTGTGTGGTCTTTTAGTTGTTACAATGGGTTACGCGAACTGCTCGATAGGAGGGATAGTCAGTCCTTTTTGATTGATTTTTCAGACTAAAATGCAAACTGATTACCCGAATTGTCACCCCGTTGACATTTACTTCCAAAACAGGAGTCCTGACAGTAAGAGAATCTGAAATGCTCCTAGACCACTCTAATTCAACGTGGGCTTGCTGACACTTTGTATATAACTCCTATCTTCTTAACCACTTTGTAAAAGGAGCTCTTCAGTGATTGCGAAAGTAGCGGCCCGATAAACCCCGATGTTTTTTCACTCACCAAAGCAACGTAGAAGGGAGCTACTTGTGCGATCACCTTGGAAATCCGTGTTGTGTTGTCGTGCGTAATCTCTGTGGAAACATGGAGGTGCGACTGAACAAGCAGTATTCATCACCATTAAACTCTACTACAGATAGAAATTCATCACATATAGACAGACAGCCATTATATGCAACGGATAAGTACTGGATGGCCGTTTCTGTTATAACTCTCTAACAGTTTCACTGTTTCGGGAATCACCGAGAGCGTACATCCCATCTGACCACTAGGGCGCTCGAACCCGCAGTTCAACTGTTGACAGTCTGTGGTTGACAGCACTGACCTACGGTGTAGGGTAATGACCGTCCTGATTAAGTTATTCTAGGTGATATACCGCCGCTCACAATCCACTAACTTGAACCTTTACTTCGACGCAGAGGATAACGTTGTCCCCCACCAAGCGACGAACCTACCAAACGTAAGTCCCCAATTAGCATATGGCATTATAAGCAGTTTGGTCTGCTATATCTATACCAATCCACTCTCTCTTGTAAACGCTACTAGTCAGCAGCTATGAGTGTGGAAAATGGGATAGGCTCTATCCTTTCGTGGATTTCATAGCAGGAAACGAGCACTACTGCCAGTAGAGCTTGGATTGGTATAAGTAAAGCGGCCCAAACTGTTTATAATGCCATAACTTCATTGGCGGCTTAAGTTTGAAAGTGAACGGGTCAGATACCCAGATCATGTAGGCAATCTGTTTTAAGCAGCATAAAGTCAGGCAACATGGCTGATACACAATGAAATACCGGTATAACTAAATTTGGGCTCCTAAAAATTAGCCTTTAACAAGGAAATTCTTACATACTAAAATAGATTGATGCACTAAGTAATGAAATAACTTAGTTGTATCAGGTCTTTGGTATTTATCCTCGCAGATGTAACATTGCAACGGTACACAACGCGGTGGGCTTTAATTCTGAGAGAATTAGTGACTTTCTGCTAAAATTTCAAAGAATATTTTAAATAGGGAAAAGGGAAGTAAATTTTAAAGATCAGCAACTCTGAACATTTCGTTATACTGACGTTTGTTATAGCAGCACGGGTTTGTAGTACTGATCATTCTCCACCAATTTATAAGCAACTGCCGTGCAGATGTCAAATTTTCGCTATTTTCACCTACGATACAGTGGGTGTTGTGCCTACGTAGTTGAGTGGATCTGTACTTTGGCCTGAACTCCGCGAGTCTCCGAGTAGAGAGCCTGAGCTGATGCGATCAATCTCGCAGTAGCTCACATATAACCGTGGTGGCGAAACCTCTGCGAAATGCTGGTGACGGCTAGTCTAACAAAATTGGCACAGGTCATGAATTTCCCAAAAGGATGCAAAATGTAGTTGCTTTCTTGGAAGCATTAAATTACTTTTAACATCCGATATTTTATCAAGGCAGGTGGAATTAATTGTGCTTTCGTTTGCTTGGATCTTAGCATTGGATACAGGGCTGATAAGAGTCAAACCTTCATAACAAGCCTATTTGGTCGGATTAGATCAACGGTCCATCGGTGAAATCAATAATCTGGCACTGACGCATCCGTCAAGTGGAATGACACCATCACAATGACGTAGCTTGGTCAATGAGACAAGCTGAGCAGTAAATTCTGGCTGCTGTTGGGCCCATTTGGGTCGTCGCAACCAGTAGGCGGGAGAGACTGTTGTTAGGATCCGCTATGTTGAACCTGAGAGCACTTCTTTAGCTGAATGTATGCAGTTATAAATGAGGAGAACATGCCCACTAGGAAATTGTCCAACCACACCTAGTATTCCGTTAAGCATTTACTGAGTGTCCGGATAGAGACGTAGCAACTTAATGAGAGCAGTCGTGTCCTATGGGTAAAGAGCTGCTCCTTTCGCATCGGAATCGTGTAGGACATAGAACATGTGTCGCTCTCCGTTTCGTGTGTTAACACGAGGGCGGTTTATCTCGCCACCCATGCTTCGCTCTGGATTAAGCTCTAGAAAGGAACAAGGGGTATATTGTGTTTACAATTTACAACGCTTTTCGTGGTACGTGATTTCCGTGATTAAATACAACTGTGTAAAATCACTCGAAATCTTGTGTAGTAGTAGTAGTAGTAGTAGTCCTGTTAGTATTCCCTTAGGCAATCCAATGCAGACCCAGTCGGATAAACGTTATCTGCATCTACTTGCAACATGCAAAACGCATTCCATTCTTTGTAGAACAGCCTGTGGCCGACATGATACGAATGCTGCGGAGGTCTGCAATCACGGTCCTAACTCTTGTACCGCCTCGTGTGCCAAGCTTTCTGAAGTCCAGAGACCTGAGTCATTGCGTGGGTGGCTGGGGTATAATCTGCCTAGTACCCCTATTTACAACTTGTTCCTAAATAACAACTCTCCGTTTAGTCACACCGAACAATATTTATGATTCAAAACAACTATCGTAACGGCGTGAAAGTTGGGGACTAATATGTGCCCGTTGGTTTAAACCCGCTGCGACTGTGCGACCGACCGGAAACAGATTCAGGAGGGACTGTGTGACCACAATTCCGATGTGTAAACGCTTCACCATGTGGCCATCATCGAATGTAGCCGGCACACACCAAGATCCTATGGAGAAGAATGCATCTTACTATCGTAGTCAGCATCCATACCGAGCTTTGTAAGAGGGCAATTTTTATTTGAGTGGCTCAATACACGCTTCCTTATTTATAGTACAAGGGGGAATTTACAGCTCAGGGACTTCACAAGTCGGTCCCAAAACAAAAGCACATTAAAATTTCCCGCGGTGTTGGTGCATGCACTACAGCGCATTTTTGCGTGAACACCTAGTCAGTGTGAAAATCGGTTCACAACAAAGTAAAAAAACCTGTTTCAAACGATGCTTAGCTACTTATTGATTATGGTGTACTGCACTTGACTGAACTCACAGTAATTGGGGATCCATGGTCTGTTTGATCGTTCAAGGTGGGTGGGTGGATAATCGCTTCTCGCGTAGCCAATGACTATGGAGTGTTTTTCATCCAACTTGATGCAATACACTTGTTCCGTCAGAGAGATGATGTGTTCGTGTGCACGTTGACGAGTTGAGGTGAAAAGCTGTTGAGAACGTGAGTACTCTTGAAAGGAAACGCACCTTCCCCGCGGACAGAACTGTGAACCCTGAAGTAGCGGACACCACTTATGATCTTGTGGTTGATGACGCTGTCGGTGCTTCAGAGGAAGGCGTTTGAAGAGCCTGAACCAGTGAAGTGATGCTCTGGAGTGGTCAGGCCGTGATGGATTGGCTTTTCTAAAGTAGTCGGTCTCTTGCGTCAAGTGTTCCCTCTGCTTTGATCACACTGCGGTTGCCGGGTCTCCTCGAGATTACTCTCACAAATGCACTCTAGACAAAAGTTGTTATTGCGGTTGCCGATGCTGTGGAGAGGTTTGGATGAAGCAAAGCCTGAAGTACCCAGGCGTATAGTACCGGGTGTCTGCCTGCGTGCGTGTATGTGCGTGTGTGATGCACACACTCAAGTGATTCTTCCCGAAGAGTGGTTGAGCCTAAACTCACGGGACAAATTATGTGGTTGAGTGCTGCTCGAAATTTAAAGAGCCTCGTCAATGATCGACCACGAGGAGGAAGTGAAGTGTGCCTCGACAACTCCAAAAGTGCCACTTCTGCGGCTCTCCTGATTCTCGTTAACTGGTGCGTGTCTTTCTAGCCAGTGGGACGCAATGCGAGTGCGCACGTGTGGTCTTACTGTCTATTCACGATCGTTTATCTACAGGCATCTGGCCCAGAGTGGACCCCCTCCCCCTAAGTCATTTCGTTCGGGGACATGTCCGAAGTAAGCTGTCTCCACTTTCACCCCCATCAAGCTTTCATCAAGGCCAGACCACGCCACCTAGACGGGTAGAATAAGACTTCTACCCTTCAAATGCAAACAAGATTCCTATTGGTGTTCGTGCGAAATTGTTACTAACCTCACGTACCGATTGGCCAAGCTGAAGCACGGCAGCGGTAAACATTCACAATTTAATTGGCTCAAAACATTGTCGTGTGCGGATGCTGGGTACTCGCTACCATTCAGTTTGCGATTGACCCGTCATTCCAGTTGTGGTTTCGCCCAACGTGCTCGCTGCAACTGCTCGTGTAATGGGGCTAGTACAAATAACGCAATCCGTATTGTTGGACTGTGGGACTTTCGGAAGAACGCGAGTGTTGGACTTGGAGGTAAACATTTAGTGAACTCGTCAAAGTAGTCTAGCACTGGCGGCTTAAGAAGCCAGTTCAGTCGTTCGCTCATACTTAATCTAGACAGCTTGCTATGCGACCCAAGTTAAGGAGCAAGTAACCTAAACGGCGCCCAAACTGTATCTTATAACTGTGATTACTTACCTTACCAGAAAACAGCTGCATCTTTCAAATGTCTTTCAGCGAAAAAAGGGGAGGCAGATGCATGTTCTATTGAGGTCCCCGGCTTAATTCGATAAAAGTAATTGAACACCGCCGCTAACATAGGTCATTGGACTAACAACGTGTTTGAGGGGGCTATCTCCACCTATACTCATGCT